CTAGGTACAATTGGTTTAATTTGAATTGCACTATAGCGGGCATATCTTTTCCACGTACCTTTTCATGTTTGTCCATTCGATGCATGTGTATGCGTAAGAGATCGAGCTATTCAATATGACACTATCTTATTCTGTAATATTGGAATCAGTTTTTTTTACGTTACATTAAAAGTTTATTTTTTTGGGGGAGAAAAGTACAACTACAAGAAGAAACCAATGGACATGACATGAGTTAAAGCGCTTATAAATAAGTGGTAAAGTGGCTTTTGGAGTTACGGTTTACAGAAAATTTTCCTTGTTTTTTGGTTTTTCCTAAAGACAATAAAACGTGGGATTTAATTTTTTAACCTACAACCAGTAATTAAACAAAACAATATATGTATAATTAAAATAGTTATAGTGAATTTAAAAACAAAACTGTCTACAATAGCCCCAATGATTACTTACTAACCAAAACAAAAATGAAATTATGTGTAAAGTTTAGGGAAAATTTTTACATGTGGTAGATGTGATTAAGAAAAAAAGTAAGAATTACAGTTTATTTGTCTCATATATGTACATATTTGCATGTAGGTACATGCAACAGGGGGCCGAAGCAGTTCACGAAGCAAACCATAATGTACTTGTAATCCTTTCTGGCCTCAGTTTCGACACCGACCTCTCATTTGTCCGATCACGACCAGTGAACCTAACTTTCACTGGAAAACTCGTATTCGAGATCCATCGATACTCTTTCACGAACACAAACACATGGAGTTCCAAAAACCCTAACGACGCATGTGGCGAGATTCTTAAAAGCATCGACGACGGAGGCGGTTTCAACCTCCGGAACTTCCCGGTGTTCCTTAGTGAGTTTGGAATCGATTTGAGAGGCGAAAACGTTAACGATAATCGTTATATCGGATGTTTATTAGGTTGGATGGCGGAAAAGGATGTAGATTGGTCGATTTGGACACTTCAAGGAAGTTATTATCTAAGAGAAGGTGTGGTCGGAATGAGCGAGTATTATGGTGTGTTGGATTCAGATTGGGTTCGTGTTCGAAGCAGAAGCTTCATGCAAAGATTGTCTCTGATTCAGTCCCCGCTTCAAGGTATATGTTCGATATACAATTTATTTTATCCGTCMAAATCAGACTAATTTTAGATTTTGCAATCGTCATCAAGTATCAAATCAAAATCATAATTTTTGTGTTTTCCTTCTCCTACAATCGTCATTAGATTTTAAAAAATGATTATAGTACGACATCAATCACTAGATTAGAAACTCTGATCTATCAACCTATTAGACTTCCAACAATTTAAAATTACATAATTATATTGAGATTTTATTTAAAATGACATTTCATAGTTGTAATTATCGAAAAGATATATTTTATCAACTATTGTTCATATATAAGTTTGAGTGAATTAATACCATGTTCGCCTTTTTTTGCTAGAGTCAAGTCTTTATGAATAAAGATGAGTAGAAACAAAGCTATATTTCATAGAGTACAATATTTTTTAGATGTGTAGCTAGTAACTTCATTTTTAATTATATAGAAATGTTTATGCTTGTTCATTAGGTATATTTAATTAACATCTCACTATTCTTAACTTGGTTTACCAGGACCGGACCCTCAACCCAAAGTCTACAATCTTGTTTTTCACCCGTTAACCGGACTTTGCATGCTACAAAATGTCTTAGATCCAACGAAAGTCATTCTCGGTCTGTGTAATGAATCTCAACCATGGAGCTACACGCCTGACAACACCCTGACACTCAAAGACAAATCTCTATGCTTAGAGAACACCGGACCAAATGTGCCGGTTAAGCTCAGTGAGTCGAGTTGTTCGAGCCCTAGTTTGTCGAAATGGCAGACCATATCAGCTTCTAATATGCTCTTAGCTGCGAAGTCAACCAATAACTCCCTTTGTCTTGACGTGGATGAAGACAATAACATCATGGCTAGTAACTGTAAGTGTGTCAATGGCGAAGTAGCTCGTGTGATCCGATGAGCCAGTGGTTTAAGATTGTTAAAGTTAGTAAATGATGAGGTTTAAATATAGATTATATATCTTGTGTTCAAAGAAAAATATAGATTATTTATCTCATATTTAACTAAAAAAAATTAAGTAATTCGTAAAAAAGAAAGAAAATTGTAAGCCTTATTTATTATATGTTCAATCTAGTGTGCTGCAATTATTATTTATTATAAACCTGTTCCAAAAGTAAAGTAAAAAATAATTATATTAATACCATCATTGTTTCAAACTTTCGATAAAAGAAAAAAGTAAAAAACAATTTCTATAAGTTCAATTTTTTTGGGAATAGCCGGTCAAAAATTCTATAAGTTTTATTGGCCTTTGTACGAAACCCAATCAAGAAAATGATCAAGAATTCACACAAAATCTAGATTGGACATAAATTACCCATGTCTAATCCTAATAGAGAAGAAGTGATCCACCAAAACAAAAGATTATAAAAAAAAGATGTTTCTCTCTCTCCGGATCTGGTCGGATCTCTCTCTCCGGAACTCTCCGGATTTTTCTCTCTCTATGTTTCTCACGCCGGA